AAAAATAAAAGTAATTAATAGTTTCTCAACGCCAATACCTATTTGAAATGTTTATATGCAGTAAACTAGATTTAAATGATAACGCATTAAAGTGCCCATAAAACATTCTCTTCACTTTCACTGTGAAAAACTGCTTCTATCTCGTCATTTAAACCGTTTTTAGTCCATTTTCAGGGGATAAATTTCGATTTCCACATACAAATTTTACATTTTGACTGGCGCGCTGGTAATCCAGATTCCCAGTTTAAAAATTGTTAAGCGAGTTACTCTATTTTTTATAGATGTCGCTTTATACAAATATTTAATTTAAATCATGTTTAGATAATAAGAAGTATTGTCGTAGAAAAAGTATAGTACTATGAAACTCGTTTATAAACTTTTAAAACATCATTTAACTAAACACTCGCTCGTGCCTAATTAATATTCGTGACTAAAATGGCGTTTATCAAACTTGATACATAATACAGGGTGTCCCATAATTAACGTGCAATACTTATCAAGCTTTTTATGCCAATAAGATGTAATAATAACAATTTCAAATTTTCCATGAGGTGTGTGTCAGATGTATAGGGAGTGGGGGTAAATCCACCCTAACTTTTTTGTACGTGTATTGTCCCAGAATTTGATGTCAGATTATTTTATTTTGGAGGTTTACACACAAAAAAGGTCCTCTTCTTGAATTTGATAATATTTACCATTTTCGCTAATAATCGATTTGAAAATTACCTTACATGGCATAAAAATTCATAATGAAATCACAACTTGAGAAAAAGATTCAGCTTGGGCCATGTTTAGGAAAAATTATTCAAGACAGGTGACCTTTTATGCAATGTAACAAGAGGTTTGATCAATTCTCAAAATTTTAATTTTTTATCTTGAACGGTTTTGGAGATATTAAATAAAAGGCCCTGGTACCAGTTTTTGTTAAACTGTTTTAGGGTCAGCAATAAATAAATAAATAAATAAATAAAAAAAAACCATCATCGGGGGTTGTAGCTTCCATATGAAGCATTTTTCGGCCTATTTTTATATAGAGTCATTCTAAATAAAAACACCAAGCAGTGCGCTGAGTGATTTTTTATTTTGATGAAAAAATTTGAGGATGATCTTTTAGGTGTCAAATATGAAAATCCGTTGCCGTTTTAATTTTTTGTTGCTTTACTTTTATTTGGCACCCCTTAGAAGTCTGAAATAGTGTCAATTTCTTACTCTCTTATAGTGGGCCAGAACTTTTTTTCTGTGACAAATATTGAAATAATTTTAATTTTGTTTTACTGTCCAGTAAGTGTCTTTTCGATATAAATTATTTTTATCCAATTAGTTAATCTCATAAAAGAATGGTAAACCACTAAAGATTCATGATAATTTGCCAATTTTTGTGATTTTTGTATGGCTCCTGTGCCTATTCTACTGAATTTAGAAGTTTCATTTTTTTCAGGTATAAAGTACTTATACAATAGAAAACGTAACTATTATTTTAAGTTTCTAGACTATCAATTTCTTTATTAAAAAAATTATTGAAAATTGATAATTCTCAAAATTAGCCAATTTTGCCCTCAGAAATCATTATGTTGAGGAAAAAATAAAAATCTGAAACTTTCAGGAAATGTAGTCCCCACCTTCATCTTTTCAGTCCAGTTGGTCTTGTTTTGTTATTTTTATTCCTTTAAAAGATATATTAATTTTTTTAATGCCCGTTTAGTAGCGATATTGTTAGTTTTATTTATAATTTAAAATTTAGATGGCTTTCCTGTTTGGTGGAGAAGTGTCAGAACTTTTAAAAATATTTCATAAATATTATTTGTGCGTATTTCTTTGGTAAATTTTGTATATAACATAATATGTAATATTATGTTATATATAAAACTTTTTAAAATCACCAAAGGAATACCACAAATAATAATTATGAAATATTTTTGAGAGTTCTGATATTTTTGGTAGTTATGTTATATTTTATGTATTGAAAAATCATATATATATATTATATATATACACACATGTCCAAAAGTTTGGAATACACACATGTCCAAAAGTTTGGAATACTTACAAATAATATATCTACGCCTATGGTAGTTTAAAAAAACTGTTGTTAATATTTACTCTATTTTCTCTGTCTTTGAGGTTTATTTATTATTGGTCGGAGTCAGGGCCGGATTTACCATTCTTGCCGCCCCTGGGCAGTCATGATCTTGCCGCCCATTTTATCAAAGCTACGAATTCGTCGAAAAAAAATCAAACAACGAATTTAACATCAGTTTACATCAATGTTTTTATTTTTTACACAATATCTTATACAAATATGATTGTTGGAAACTAACCATATAGTAATACAGTAATCTCGATTATATGTTGGAAATATTGATTCAAAACCTGGACAGCGTCATCACGAGCAGACCACCTAGTATACTATAGTGGACAAAGATGCTAATATTATTAATTTGGTTTTCTCAGTGGACCTCAAAATTTCCCACCGATGTGTTGACGTAGTAAAGAAGTTGTACAATGATTGAACAACGTTGAAAAATGATATTTTAGACCATATTCCGCCATCCGATGATAGAATATTTCATTATGTAAGAGTTTAAGGAATATATGCAATTCCACATTAAAAAGTGGTATTATATAATTACATTGTATTATATTCCGTAATAGGAGTAGAAAAAGACTGTTCCAGACTGTTCTGTTTACATAGTACCACATAGTACATACACGGTAATGTAATATTTGGCAGCACTACACTAGATAAAATTATTAAGTACGACACAATATGGCAGCCACGGGGGAGGCGCCGCGTCGGGCGGAGCCAAAATTCAAATTTCCACTGCGCAATGTATAGTGTGAGATAAACTGAGTTAAGTTGATGAATTTTTTTCTAGAAAAATCGCCCTGTAAAATCATACATTTAGTTATATGAGGAGTTGGGATTTAACAAATAGGTGATTGTTTTAGCTTTCGCTAATATTCTCAGACTATAATGATATCTTCGTAACCAAATTTTAATGTTTCGGAAAATATTAATCTTTCCACCAAAATTTGCCGCCCCAAAAATTTGCCGCCCTGGGCAGTTGCCCAAAGTGCCCATGATTAAATCCGGCCCTGGTCGGAGTCGTTATAAAATGGTATTTACATATATAAAAAAAATATATATAAATATTAATAAAAAAAGAAATATTGCAATATTCCAAACTTTTGGACATATGTGTATATATATATGTATATGATTATATATTATATACATTATAATGAAGTATTTAATTGGGTAATTGGTGTTTAAAGAAGAGGAATGTAAAAAATATATTTAAGATCCTTATGGTTTATATCGTTAAGTATAATAAGTGAAATTAATAAAGAGTTAATTTAAACGTATAAAAAATGCGTTTTTTGTCGGTTTCTTTCACAATTTAAACCAAGTTAGTCTTGTTCTATTATTTTGATCCCTTTAGTAAGGCACTAAATAGTTAAAAGTTAAATGTATGTATTTTAAATGTTGTTGTTGGAAAAAATTTACACAATCTGTAAATACTTCTTTAAATTTTAGTTTTTAGGTAACTGGTTAAAATAAAACATGTTATAATAAAGGGGTTTATTTAGAATATTTTTTGGTTTTTGCTTATTTTTAACAATTTAAAACTTCTCAGAACTTAAATATTTTCTATAAGAAAGAGGTACCGTGGCCGACACGGAATTTTGAACGACTATCATCCTGTTGACATCAAAATCTAAACTTTCTTTATGGACAACTAACCTTACTTTCGGTTATCACTAGTATTGTAATTTTGACAGCGAAAGCAAAAATGCTCAATATTGTATCTTTGCTATTTACAGATGTATACATTGACAACCAAGTTATGTCGTTCAAAATTCCGTGTCGGCCACTGTACAAAATTATGATATGTTCTTGCATTTTTAATTGCGATTAAATTCATGAATCTCGAACACTCCGTCATTTATTACACTTGCAAACTTGCAAACTTTTTGAAATCAAAATTTAAATACACACAAATAAAATTTATGAAATATTTTTGACAGATCTGACATTTCTCTACCAAACATGAATTGACAAAGTCAAAGCCATCTAAGTTTTAAATTATAAATAAAACTAACAATATCGCTACTAAACGGGCATTAAAAAAATTAATATATCTTTTAAAGGAATAAAAATAACAAAACAAGACTAACTGGACTGAAAAGATGAAGGTGGGGACTAAATTTCCTGAAAGTTTCAGATTTTTATTTTTTCCTCAACATAATGATTTCTGAGGGCAAAATTGGCTAATTTTGAGAATTATCAATTTTCAATAATTTTTTTAATAAAGAAATTGATAGTCTAGAAACTTAAAATAATAGTTACGTTTTCTATTGTATAAGTACTTTATACCTGAAAAAAATGAACCTTCTAAATTCAGTAGAATAGGCACAGGAGCCAGACAAAAATCACAAAAATTGGCAAATTATCATGAATCTTTAGTGGTTTACCATTCTTTTATGAGATTAACTAATTGGATAATAATAATTTATATCGAAAACACACTTACTGAACAGTAAAACAAAATTAAAATTATTTCAATATTTGTCACAGAAAAAAAGTTCTGACCCACTATAAGAGAGTAAGAAATTGACACTATTTCAGACTTCTAAGGGGTGCCAAATAAAAGTAAAGCAACAAAAAATTAAAACGGCAACGGATTTTCATATTTGACACCTAAAAGATCATCCTCAATTTTTTTCATTACAATAAAAAATCATGCAGCGCACTTTTAAATTCATTTTTGGTGTTTTCATTTGGATTGACTCTATATAAAAGTTCCTATAGGAACTTTTTTTCCCATTTTTGTTGGTAAAATCTGCTGTTAAAGTATTGCAAGTTAATTATGGGACACCCTGTATACTATTTTATATGATGTAAAGAGTATCAATAAAAATATTTTTTAGTATCCTCAGCATCCACTGGAGCTCCCCAACAACAAAACGAGCAATTACAAGCTATACAGTACAACCATATGCAACAAAGTCATGTGCCACAGAGTCACGTTCAACAAAATCATGTGGCACAGAGTCACGTGCAACAAAATCACGTGCAACAAGATCACGGCCAACAAAATCACTTGCAACAAAGTTACAACGAAGAATCGCACATTCCAAGACATTTTTTATCCCAATCGCATCATCGGGTGGAGAGTCGACAAATACAAGAAGCTCTCAGTACGAATCCTGAAAATCATGAGTATATTAGCAATTCCGCTTTTGATGAAGGAGGATCAAGGGGTAAATAAAACAAAGTGTTAAATTTTACTGGGGAACACAATTTTTATAGAGGGACCAGTTTAGGAACTCAAGTATACTGGGTAACCGATATTGCACCATTGCATGACATCGTTTAAAATTAGTCTTTTTGAAATGTCAATAGCTAAACGAAATTGGCGAAAAAATAATAATCATAAAAAAACGATTTACCTTCAGGATAAGAGACTGTGCTGCCCGGAAAAATGAATTAGTCAAAAACGACTAATTGTCATAGCGAAAACGCAGCCACTAATATTTCAGGTCAATAGCAATTTGTATCCCAAACATTTAGCAGTTACTTTCCATATAAAATTGTCCCCCGAATCCAAAAATATAGTCAATTTTCCCTATAATATGGAGTTGACTATATCTCAAAAACTGCTCTACTTTCATAATTTTTGACGATATTTTTGGATTTGGGGGACAATTTTACATTCAATTTTATATATATTTTATAATGTTAAATGTTGGGGATACTATGGTATCCCAGGTATAAGTGAAAAAGCAGCCCCTAATAACAGTTACTGGTAACTTGTCATTTTTGACTAATTCATTTTTAGATAGTAGTTTTTTCCAAATGGTGCAGAAGGTTTTTAAGAAATGTTATGAGTAAAAAAAATGTTTAATCGTTTCAATCAGTGGCGGCTTGTCATTTAAAATCTCACGTCAACTTTTGAGTTTAAAAAATATGTATTGTAATTCAAATTTGTTAAAAACAAATTATCATTTTTTTACATGTTGTCCGCAAAGAAAGTTTAATCGGTGGTTTTATATATGTGTTGCAGTGTGCGTAGTGGATGTTTTTGTTTTGATTCACATTAAATTATTTAAAACTTCTGACTTATCTATTATATTTTTTGACTCGATTAGTAAAATTTATTGTTTTATTATTGTGGTGCACAGGTGAGGTAAGGTAGAATTAGTAGTTTTTTATTAAGCAACAAGTCTTATTGAGTTTCAATTAAGGATAGGTTTTCAAAATACCGGTTTTCTTTAGTTAATTTTACCTGATTTTGTTTTTTAAATTAATCCTGTTCATGACATAATAATTGAAACGTCCTTTTTAAGAAAAAATAAAACTGAAAAAACATATACGCCAAAAATGTCATCAATATTTAACGATAAGAGGCAGGGTAAGCAATTTTCACAAACTTTTCAATTATGTTGGCTATTCGGAAGTATTTATAAACAAATCTTATTCTGTTGGCATTGTATTTTATTGGACACTGATATTTTATTTGTTTTATATGCAGGTATATATATTTTTATTTATCCATATATACTCTTATCTACTTCCCCATTGATAAGCTGTGACATCACAGCGTTTTAGTTAAGGGCTGAAGTTAGCGGCTTTTGGGCATTTTAGTCACAGGCTGAAATTTAGCTTTATTATAAATTGGGAAAAACTAATGTGAAATCCGTTGACAGATGTCAAATTCTTCTTTGTATTCGTCTTAGATGAAGTATACTATAAAAGTTAATAAAACTAGTTGCATATATGCAACTATAGTTTAATTAACTTCTCCAGACACTCGTTTTTATTAAATACTCGCTCGCAAGCTTCGCTGTTGCCTAATAAAACTCGTAACTAAAATGGCGTTTATAAATCTTCATACATAATATCGTCATATCCCTGCGAAAAATCACTAACTAACATTTTATTATTGAGCTTCAAGATAAAATAAATAAGCAAATAAATATACCTATCTATTACACCAGTTTATAAACTATAGTGATTATTAATATTCTAGGCATCTAGTGGCTTTTAAATATTAAAGATATGGTAAATTTGTATAGTTAGGTTCAATTTAATAACATTTTTACAAAATGTTAGTGACTTTTGGAAGGAATATGATGATATACTCACAGATTATAAAACTTATATACTATTAAGTTACAGATATATATTTTAAAAGTTTTTAAAAACAAATTTATGTTTTTTATATTTCTGTTTTGTTTTTTTTTTCTTTTTTTTATTCATAAAGTTTTATATCGACCATTTAAAAAAAGTGTTTATTCGTATTTAGACAAAATTAACCTCATGTAGCCCCCCCTATACACCCATGAGCCGCCACTAGCTTCAATCATAAATTTCAACGAATGGAAAAATTTAAAAAGGATTTTAAAGTAAAAGGCGGCATAACGAGTTCTGTGGAAAAATATTTCTTGATTTAACAAAACAAGTCTTTCAGACCTTAAGTTGGAATTTCTCATAAACCTGACATAATGGTATAATTCGTATTAAGCTCATCATAAACCTTCGAAAAGGTTTCTGTAATTAACATGTTTTTAATAATGTAAAATTTAGGTAGTGCAGACAAAAAATACGCAACAGGCGCCGAATTAACCAGTCTAGCTCACAGCTCAGCTTTGCAAGCTAAAACAGCTGTACAAAATCAACACACCGCTGGAAGCCAAGCTGCATTTGGAGCTAAGAGCAGCCTAGCACAAGCTGCCTTAGGCGTAAGTAACATTTATTAAAAAAGTGTTTATCAAAATAAACAAACCCAAAACCATAGGCAGCTGCAACCGCCCAAGCAGCTCTGGTGGGCAAACAAGTAATCGCCCAAGGTCTAAAAAAGCAGCTAATCGAAGCTCAGCATCAGCTTCAAGCCGAAATAACGCAATACCACCAAACGCAAACAGCTGCGGTGGCCGCTCAGGAGTCAGCGCAGCAATCGCAAAATCAACTGAACGCCCTTACCGCAGCTATGGCGGCTTCGCAGGGGAGCGCGCAGCATGCCGCCGCAGCTGCGTCCGAAGCTGCCAACAGCGCAGCTGCGCAACATTCAATGGTAAGAGGACAAATGAGGTCCCTAAAAGCCAAGGGGTAAAAGTACATTTTGAGTCAAAATTGTTTGTTGTTTTATGACTTTGTTTTTCAAGATGTCCAAGCTTAGAATTCAGTTGGATACTACGAAGGCCTAGAAGGGCCAACAAAAATTTTATAAATTTTAGCCAAAACTAACTTTGATTTTTGCAATTTCTATTCTATAATTGTAACTTGAACTTACAATTGTAACTTGAACTTACAATTGTAACTTGAACTTACAATTGTAGGTTCAAGTTACAATTGTAACTTGAACTTACAATTGTAACTTGAACTTACAATTGTAGGTTCAAGTTACAATTGTAAGTTCAAGTTACAATTGTAACTTGAACCTACAATTGTAAGTTCAAGTTACAATTGTAGGATAAACCTAAAGGTAAGTTTATTGCTCGGTTTATTGTTTCTTCTCTCTATAGTATAACCAATTTAGTGTTTTTAATAGGTAGCTATGGAACAATATTTCAAAATGGGGCTTCAGCAAAAAGAAATATTATAATATTATTTAAAGGCAAGCATAACGTATAAGCCCTATAACCTTAAAACGGCTTCTGTGCAGACTAGGGCTGCGATTATCAAAATTCATAATTGATTATTGATTATCTAAAATAATCAATTTTTTCGATTAATCGATTATTGATTAATCGATTTTTTGATTAATCGATTATTTGATTAATCGATTATTTGATTAATCGAGTATTTGAGTAATCGATATTATTAGTTTAAAAAAAATGCGTTTGAGCATTATAAGTTGGCGGAGCAAAGAAATGTTCATGCAATTTGGATAAATAATATTAAAAAACATACCTACTTAGTTATATTTTTTATTATTATTTATATATATAAGTTATATAATATTAATATTTATATTAAAAAAAAATACGTTTTAAAAGCACACAACACGACAATTGTTGAATAACTAAATAACTTAATTCATTCGGTCCCCCAACTTATCGTGGACAGACAGTACATTCTTTATTTAAATAATAATAATAATTATTATAATAATCGAATAATCGATTAATCGATCGATCTTGTAAGAAGGGAATTTAGTAATTTAGAGAATGTTTATGCTTTTATTCTGTTTCTTATCACTACTTCTGCCCAAGTTACAATTGTAACTTGAACTTACAATTGTAAGTTCAAGTTACAATTGTAAGTTCAAGTTACAATTATAGAATAGAAATTGCAAAAATCAAAGTTAGTTTTGGCTAAAACTTGTTAAATTTTTGCTGGCCCTTCTACGCCTTCGAAGGATACCTACCAAGTAAAATGTACCATTTACTATATTTTCCTTTACTATGCTCCACACCTCAAACTCCCACCACGTGACCACGTACGGAACGCAGTCTTTTGAAAATTTGGCATTTAAGGCTTTTCAGGTTATGTATCTGTCAAAGTATAGTCAATGAATGAAATAATATTTATAGTGTTACCGCTTGTTTAAGCGTTAAAATTTAATAAATCTTTATAGTATCACAATAACAATGGTTGGTTTAAGAATTTAGGAATATAAATAAATTTAATGAAATTCCAAAGTGTAAGGTGCAATATAAGTAGGGTTGGGAAAATTTCACTTTTTGCTTGTACTTGAAATTTCACATGAAATTTTCATGACATTTATGAAATTTATTAAAATTTCATAAATTTCAATCACTTTAAGTGTAATATATATTAATATTGAAATAAGCCCACTCGGGGACCATGGCAAATTGCCTCTCTTACCTCCTACCCCTCTGTGGGCCCCTGCACCAATAATATAAATAGTAAATACATATGTTTACCACAAATTTCTTGAGATTTCCTTTTAAAATATTTTTAGAATTACTAAAACTAAAAGAGATATAGGTAGCACTTTTTGGTAAGCTAATGAGATTGTGCCACTTTCATTGTTTTATATTTATATATATTTATTATTTTTAAATATTTTACTGAAATTTTACGAAAACTTCATAAAAATTTTATGAGCCGAAGGCATTTTTTATCCGTTTTCCGATGCAATTATAGCAAAAGTAAAAGTTTAAATGAATCGTGACTTTTAAGAAAAAATTAAAGCCTGATTTAATTTACAAATTAAATTGGTAACTGAATTAAATTATTTAAATTAATTTATGCATATAAATAACAATAATTACTTAGAGTGTATTCAAATCCAAGCCGAAGTAAACAAAAACGCCCAGACGCTTGCTGACTCGTTCTTATTGGTCGATTCGGAATCTGTTGTAAATTATTATTAAAGGTCCCAGGGGAGGCCGCATGTGAAATTTATGCGAAATTTTCAGTAAATTTCGAAACTTTCAATGAAATTTCTGAAACTTTCACAGGTAATGTTGAAATTTTCGGATTGAAAATTTCATTTGAAATTTTTAAAAATTTCACTTTTCCAACTAAATGAAATATTTCAAGTTTGAAACTTTCAAAGTTGAAATTTTCATTTGAAAATGTCAACTGTCCCAACCCTAAATTAAGTGATATTTTTGTGCATTGGGTCTACATTTCTTCATAAAATAGTTTTAACTTAACAGCATTTATTAAAAAGAATCTAACTTCTCTATTATGAAATAAGAATATCTGAATCAGAACAAAAAATATGATCTAATTTTGTATTTTAAGGTTAGAAAAATCTATTTTAACCAAAATAAATAAGTGGATTATATGGTCATAAATAAATATAGGTATACTAAATAATTGTTGAATATAGTTTAAATTAAATTAAGGCTTTTATACTTCTAACGACAAAACTTGTGCATACCTCTCGGCATACTTACTTTAAGTTAGATTATAAGAAAACAAACAATTTTTAGAGAAACTTGCAATGTGAAAATATTTAATACTCCCTTGACATGTGATTTATTAAAATTTCAAAGTTATAATGATTTTTTGATATAGGTCAAATTCAGTCGAAGCTTTTTAACTATTTTTATTGAGAAAACTTTATGTAGGTACACTTTAAGCTGGATAAGAAAAACTACCACATTTTTAAATACTATATTATACAGTCTTTTAAATAATCCAAAATACTTATTTATTTTGGTCAAAATAAATTTTTCTAGCCTTAAAACTACAAAATTAGATGATATTTTTGTTATAATATATTAACCTACCTTTAATACGGATATTCTTATTCCATAATAGAGAAGCTAGATTTTTTTAAATAAATGCTGTTTAGTTAAAATTATTTTATGGAGAAAACCAGATATTTGGACCAAATGCACAAAAATATTATTTATTTGGCACCATACACTTTAGAATTTCATTAAATGCAGTATTTATATTCTTAAATTCTTAAACCATCCATTGTTATAGTAATGTTATAAAGATTTATACATTTTTAACGCCTAAACATAATATTATTTCTTTCGTTGACTATACTTTGACAGATACATAACCTGAAAAGCCTTAAATGCCAAATTTTCAAAAGACTGCGTTCCATACGTGGTCACGTGGTGGGACTTTGAGGTGTGGAGCATAGTACATAGCTACATTTTTTTAAAATGTCACTTGTATCCCTTGACTTCTAGGGTCCTCAAATGTTTTCAATTTTTTTTCAAAATAAAATCTTAGGTGACAGATGCAAAACAGCGTGTCCAACAAATAGCAGAGCGCCTTCATAGTTCCTTGCAGGAATTGGCTGAGACTGAAGCTTTGGCGCAAAAAGCTTTAGCAGCTGCGTCCATCGCACAGTCTAACGCAGCTGCAGCTGGTGCTGCTGTTGCCGTGGCAGCTGAGAGTTCGAAGCATGCCACCGGCCATGTTCAAGAGTCAAATTCTGGTCCAGTAGGGTATTACCATTAAATTTAAGGTTTTTATGTTTTGATGTTTTATGGTGGCATCAAAAAAATATTTATTTAGTAGTTTTTTTACATTTGATATCGAGTAGTATTTATGAGAGTCTAATTATTTATCCACAAAATGTGTTTTACTTTTTATTAGGATTTGACATTTTTTTAATGGAATTTTTAATGTTAATGTTAATACTAATACTAATACCAGGGATGTGCATAAGGACAAACATTATTGCGATAAAAACGATTTTTAGGATTTTTAAAAACAAAAGTTTCCAATGAATTTTATAATTTTGACTTTCTTGTTAAAATTAAAAAGCCTATAAGGTAATTTTTGTTTAAAACTTGATTTTAGATACTTCAAAATGTAGTTTTTGTTTTATTAAAAAAAATCCCAAAATAAGTGAACTTGAACTTTCTTATTGTTGTTAATTAAAATAAAGTATATACCTAATAAATTGGTTATTTAAACAACTATCAGAAGGTTCAAGTGCTTATTAATTGTTTATTTTTAAGTTTAGGGATGATATAATTTTTTGCTCCAAATTAAAATGTCATTTAAATTACGTAAAAATATACAGGGTGTCTTATTTAAAAAATGTTATTTTTGTGAATTTTTCGTCAACCCGACGTTCAATTGTTTTTCGGTTTCTACCATTTAAATTAGAAAAAACGCCACCTACTTTTTTATCACACAATCTGGATTTTTAATTTTTTGAGATTTTTTAAATAAAGAATTTGTAAACACAGGTGGCTTTGGCTCACTTTCAAACTTATGCTTAAAATTTTTGTGGTTTTAACAATCATAAACATTAAATTTTGTAAACCAAAATTTGAGTCTTGAGTTGCTCTTTCATAATAACTATGTTATAATATTACATAGGGCTGAGTTTCAAAAATAAAAATTAAAAACTGGGTGTGCAAAGTTAACCCCTGGTTGCGGGTTACTTTGTCTCACAGTGTATTTTCCGTATAAAATGAATTCAATATTATATTTTATTTTTATTAGACACGTGTTAGCAGCGACATATATCTTTTGCAAGGGATTACCGATAAAAAAAAAATAAAAAATCGACCTTTAGTTAACCAAGGATCATCATTCCAATGGATTGCGCATAATATAGAAATTGTAACGCGTGTATTTCTAAGAGTTTTGCACTGATGCGATATATACAATTTTAAAGTGTAATAAATCTCATTTCTTTCTTTAAAACACTGATTTTCCTGTAATATAAGCCCAATAGAATCGCTCAATTGACAGGTTTAGACCAACAAATTATAAATGTTAATTTTATCGAGCGCGAAAAGATTTTTCATAAATGGGTCAAATTTGACTTAAGTCACCCGCGGGGTGCAAAGTCACCCGTGTTTACGGTCATTTTTATCATCATTTATATAAAACCACCCTGTTTATAAAATTAGTACTAAAAAACTTTGCATTTGAAAAATGATCATGCTATCTAAAGTATATAATTTTTTGATAACCTATAATATATTAACAGTTATTACTTTTTCACCCATCATCCTGTATATTGTTTTAGTACTATTATTCTTTGAGTTGATAAATTTAAATATAACAATAATTTTTTTCTTAATTAAGTTAAAAAATTTATATTAATTAATGTCAAGCTTTTCTTTTATTTTACATATGTACAGGGTGATCCCCTATAATGTCGCCCCCTTTAACTTTTTTATTTTAAGTGTCCCAAAAAATTTAAAAGTGTGGTTATGTAGGAACTAAAAAATACTTTTTTTCTACTTATAAAGAAAATTTTAAAATTGATCAGTATACAGGGAAAAACATAAAGTTTATTTTTTTTCAATGGATCACCCTATATATGAATTTATTTTTCGATTCCTTGTAAAATTCTGAGCATAATTTATATAACAAACCATATACCTAAATTCAACCGTTTCTGAAATATTCGCATTCGAAATGTCATCATTAAATGTTTTTTTAAACTGTTAAAAATCAAGAAGCCTCAGTATACCAAAATTTTTATTGAAAATAAATTACTGTAGTGACATTATGTCAATATGTGTTGTTAAATAAGTAAAAATGGCTTATTTAGACAGAGAAAGACAAACTATTTCAACTTATTATCTTAAAAATAATTTAAATATTTCAGAAACGGTTGAATTTAGGTATATGGTATGTTATATGAAGAAATATGCTTAAATTTTTACAAGGAATCGAAAAATAAATTCATATATAGGTTGATCCATTGAAAAAAATAAACTTTTTGTTTTTCCCTGTATACTGATCAATTTTAAAATTTTCTTTATACGTAGAAAAAAAGTTTTTTTTAGTTCCTACATAACCACACTTTTAAATTTTTTGGGACACTTAAAATAAAAAAGTTAAAGGGGGGCGATATTATAGGGGATCACCCTGTACAGGGTGATCCCCCCTTTAACTTTTTTATTTTAAGTGTCCCAAAAAATTTAAAAGCTTTGTTATGTAGGAACTAAAAAATACTTTTTTTCTACCTGTAAAGAAAATTGGAAAATTGATCAGTATACAGGGAAAAACAAAAACTTTATTTTTTTTCAATGGATCACCCTAATTATGTATTTATTTTTCGATTCCTTGTAAAATTATAAGCATATTTCATATAACATACCATATACCTACCTAAATTCAACCGTTTCTGAAATATTTTTTCTCTGTCTGAATAAGCCATTTTTACTTATTTAACAAGACATATTGACATAATGTCACTATAGTAATTTATTTTCAATAAACATTTTGGTATACTGAGGCTTCTTGATTTCTAACAGTTTAAAAAACATTTAATGATGACATTCCGAATGCGAATATTTTAGAAACGGTTAAATTTAGGTAGGTATATGGTTTGTTAAATGAATTATGCTCAGAATTTTACAAGGAATCAAAAAATAAATTCATATATAGGATGATCCATTGAAAAAAAAATAAACTTTTTGTTTTTCCCTGTATATTGATCAATTTTCCATTTTTTTTATACATAGAATAAAAGTATTTTTTAGTACCTACATAACCACCCTTTTAGTTTTTTTGGGACACTTAAAATAAAAAAGTTAAAGGGGGGTGAAATTATAGGAAATCACCCTGTACATGTATACAGGGTGTCCCGAACGTGGCGCTTCGACGCCACACGACGTCATAATTTTTTTCAAGTAGTTTTAAAGCGGTTGTTATAACAAAATAAACAATGAAGCTCCACCTATTTGAACTGTGTTATTAATAACTTATTATTATTAAATTGTCACTTTTTATTTTTAAACCGTCATCAGTAAATTGTGTTAAATCAGTTAACATAAAAATGCCTAGAAGTGAAACTTTTGGAACTTTTCTAAGAATATAAGTACTATATCAGAAATTAGATGGAACAAAACAATTTTGTTGGCATATTCATTTTTACCAGGCCTAAAACTCATAAAAAAAGTTTAATTTACAAAAGTTAAATTATAAAAATCAAAATATAGGGTACATTAAACTTATCTAAATATTAAAAATGTTACCTAAATTAAACTTGTATGTATGCATTGATTATCATAGTTTTACCCATAACTTTTTTAGGATAAAAGTACCCTATTTTATTTAATGAACTTGAAGTTTTAACTTGTAAATTGACCCCAAAAAAATTGTTGTATACATTTTTACCCAGCTTATGATTATATTTTTTGTTTTATATTTTTATATTTATTTAACTATGTGATAAAAAATACAATATTTTAATAAAATAATTAAAGCGAACCAAATCTTGTTTTACTATAATAACTGGTCCCATAAAAAATTAAATTTTATATTTTGTCGAAACATGAAATAATGTCCCATTAAATAAGGCAAAACAATAATAGTATATTATTATACGAGAAATAATGCGCATAACCTCGACTGTAATACTATGCTTTATCTACTCCAATAAGTAGATACTTAAACGATTTTCAAAAATAAATTAATAAAATCTGACATATGTCAAATGATTAACCTCACTTTTTATCAATTTTAAATGTTATAATAGTCACCTTCTCTCAATTTAAATCCCGATTGGTTCAAATCGCAGCGAATATTGAAATCGGCCAATCATTGATGCCTAACAACGTGAATATTGAGTTCATTATTCCCGTTGTTAGGCAGGGAATTTGTAATGTTTATGATTATATATGGAAAAACTCAATATTACGCAATAGGAGTAGATAAAAATATATATTTTTAATGAAATTTACATTATCTTGCTAAATTAACGATTACTGCATCAAAATGTTAACTTATAATATAAGTATACGGAAATACCAATTTGGACCATGGCTGTTTTTGTAAGAAGCACCTCAATGGAAGTGGCCCCTTTTTTTAACAAGATTGGACGAAGCTGATTATCATGGCGATAACATCGCCAGTTTGCGAATAACGAAAACGAATAACGAAAAAGAATAACGAAAACGAATAACGAAAACGAATAACGAAAACGAATAACGAAAACGAATAACGAAAACGAATAATGAAAACGAATAACGAAAACGAATAACGAAAACGAATAACAAAAACCAATAACGAAAACGAATAACGAAAACGAATAACGAAAACGAATAACAAAGACGAATAACGAAGACGAATAACGAAAACGAATAACAAAAACGAATAACGAAAACGAATAACGAAAACGAATAACGAAAACGAAAACGAATAACGAAAACGAATAACAAATAAAAACTGGGCCTAGAAATTGTTAAAACTTGCTTATATACTCGTGGAATAGTAGCCATTTATAATTAATATTCATCTATAATATAATATAATATAATATATAATATAATATAATATATAATTATATATATAATAAAAACTGGGCCTAGAATTTGTTAAAACTTGCTTATATACTCGTGGAATAGTAGCCATTTATAATTAATATTCATCTATAATATAATATATAATTATATATATATATATATATAATTAGCATCTAATTAATTGACTTTTCAAGTATCCCCAAATAACAGTTTCTGGACTTCTCGCCTATAGACGCGTATACACAAACCTGATTTTGATGATTTTTTTTCCTGAAATTTGTGACACCCTATTGGGTGCATCAGCAATAACAACCGATGCCAATTATCATACTGTAGCCTTATCTTTTCTAAGTATTTCGATTTTTATTGGCTGTTTTCAAGTCAACGCCTCGGATAAAGTGTTCTAATAAGTGTTCGAGAAAAAAACTTCTTCTTACGTTTGCATCCTGTTTAAGCTCAAATTAAAATAACAATAACATTTTTACCATTTTAACCTGTAATTAAAAAAAATCATCAAAATCAATGGTATGCCATTGCTGGTGGCCGGTTTTTTCCGGTGATATAAGTAAATGTTAAATCCCCATGAGAATTCTAACCTTTTCAAGTGAACCCGATTTGCTCATAATTCATTTCAGATCAAAATGTAGATGTCGACGTGTTTACGCATCACTGAGTCTATTTATCACTACCTAAACATATGATTTATAGCTGCGAGCTAAATAAGCATAAATCACGAAGTATCAAAATTAGCTGCAAAAGCCACAAATTTAAATTAGCATAAGGAAATATGGCATCAAATAAATAATTAAAATAATGATATATATTTCAGGGGAACTCGACTAGAACCGCGTAAAAATGGATTTCTCCATTATAGTTTACCACGCTTTGCTACGAGTACTCGTACATGATGATAGATTGGTTTATAAAAAGGATTATTGAGAAACGATTAATTGCCAATATATAAGGTAGCTATCAAATTATCAATTTATTGTTACATAATAAATCAAGCCTTTGTCATAAACTTATATAAAATTATTTGTAAGTTCTTAACAAATTTTTTTTACTCATGCATCACTGGTACCACCATAATCGTAACAAAATGTTAAAAATATCAAGTGAAAAAACATGTAACGATTTTTTTGTGGTTGAGTTTTTTTCGGTAGTTAATGAACAAGAGGTCAATTTTTAACAGGATACATTTTTTTGGTCGAAAATCTTTTTGGCATAAAAATTAGTCGAGAATTACATGCCCCTTATTCTCAAAGTTTGAGAATAATTTTACAAAAATTATTAGGTTAAAAATTGATTTCGAGTGTATGTATTATGTGAAGATAAATACATGAATAAATAACTAGGATAAAATTAAGAAAAAAACATATTTTTACAAACAAAATTTATTGAAGTATTTACTAACATAAATAAGATACGAGTTTTAAGTCACATAAAAATGCCGCCAGAAACTGATTGCAGTTTCTTGTTTGGGACCCTTTGGTGACTTAAAAATGATATTTACCAAAATCCTAGCTGTTCCTCTTTTCGAAATTTTTCGAAAATCCATGATTTAAAAAAAATATTTTGGAGATAAATCTTCTTTGCATGTGCATTATGCTTTTTACTACATAAAAAATGTTTTTTTGCTAACCCTTTATAAATCTAATGATGTGCTCAGTATGAAAACAGTATTCTCTAAGTCTCGTTAATAAAAATAGGTGTACAAATGTACATTTGTACATATGTGTACTCTGGCAAATAATAAAATAATAAACAAAAAATTAAAAAATGATTGAATTTTTTACAAATATAAAAAAGCAGTTAGAATTTTGGTAAATATCGTTTTTAAATCACCAAAGAGTGCGGATTAAAAAACTTCAACCAGTTTTTCGTTCAAAATTTAAAACTACTAAAAGCCTAAATTAAACAATTTTAAATATTCTCTGAGTAATATTTTATTTAATTTTATTTAAAATCTACTTTTCGTAAGAATGCCATTTTGTAACCTGATAAACGTAGAAATATTTTAAAAAAATTGGGGATAATTTTTTTTTGCGTGTTATGCCAAAACCATGAATTTACGCTTTTGCTTTATTAAAAATAAGCGATTTTTGGCTAACCCTGTATATGGGTAATTCTTTTACAAACCGAACACCTTTTGACCGACACATCTCAGATTTGGCTGAAATTTTTTTTACGAAAAATAAGGGATACGTGTCCGAGGAAATTTTTTTCTCTCGCATATTTTAGATAATACAAGCTATCGAAAATTTGAGAATAACGAGTTTTTTGGCTTGGAGACTCATTTTCAAAAATTTATAACTGGTTCTTTTTGAGCTACAAACTTCTTTTTTTAATTTATTTGAAAAGTGAGGTTATGTCAAAAAATAGTTAAAATAAAAATTGTAGATCTTTTTATTATCTACAACTTTTATATTTGACTTTTTTTGATCCGAGCTACAGTTTTCTTTTTACTAACAAAAAACCGTTTTTTATGGATCCCGCAATATGAATTAATGTTTTAACAATAGGGGCATTCCACGTTACTCGGTAATTTTTGTCCCGCCCGTCACAATTAAAAATTGTGAGTAAAAACCACAAGTTATAAAATTAATATTTTATTATATTATTTTTATTGTGCTTATAACTTATTAAAAGCATAATAAAACAATATTTTTAAATAAATTTTATAACGTGTAGTTTTTACTCACAATTTTTAATTGTGACGGGCGGGACAAAAATCCCCGAGTAACGTAGAATGACCCAATATATTATTACTATAGTAATAATAAAGGTACCATATTTTAAAAACATGTTTTTTATGTAAAATTTGACGGAGAATACGATAAAAATACTAAAAACTTAATACGAGGTGGGGGATATTGTTAAAAATTGATTTAAACAATGAAATTGTTAATAACAATATAAATTTGTTAATATTATTTATTAAAAAAAAACAGAAGTTTGTAGCTCAAATATAACCAGAGGTATAAATTTTTGAAAATGAGTCTCCAAGCCAAAAAACTCGCTATTCTCAAATTTTCGATAGCTTGTATTATCGAAAATATGCGAGGGAAAAAAAATTCCCCGGACACGTATCTCTTATTTTTCGACATAGAATCCGTAAAAAAAGTTTCAGCCAAATCTGATATGTGTCGGTCAAAAGGTGTTCGGTTTGTAAAAGAATTACCCATATATCAAATGAAGTGAACAGTATTAAAAAGTATTCTCTAAGTCTCCTCAATAATATACTCCAATTTTATAAAAACGTAGTGTTTTCTGTGAATATATGTTATTTATTTTAAATATACCGTTAGTTCCTATATATATCCATATATATATGCGAGATTAAATGAATTGTTTGTAATAAATATTTCGTATATTCCCCATTAAAAAGAATGATAGTCTTAAAACAAGACTTCGAAAGCAATTATTTTGTTGAAGACTTTCATATATTTGATGTTAGAGTGAATAAACATATTATATCGTCGGTCTTATGACATAAGGCCCTATCTCGATTTTTACAACTTTTCAGGAGAGCAATTTAAAAAAAAACTGATATATTTAAGTTAACAGAACATAAAGAACTTTAACGATTTTCAATCCTATTTTTTGGAATTATGAAAAACAAATCATGTGAGTTTTTTGTCATATACCAAATTTCAACATAATAATTAACATTTTGTTGTAATAATGGTTTTTGTGAGATAGGGCCTTTTGTAATAACACTAAACATTTTTATTGGTGTATTTTGGTCGAGATAGGCCTCGTAAAGTAGAGATGAAAAGGCCGTTTATACTTATGTTTTTTTTAAATAAAAAGCAAATCTCAAAATATCTAATTTAATAAAATAAATAAAACTCCGGACAGTAAAGAAATAACTGATAAACATTATTTTCAATCAAAAACATAACATGAACTTAAGTTCATTTATAACATAATACATAAAATAAAACTTAAATTTGTCTCAACAAAATTTAAATAACAGTAAATTTAAATATGTAATAAAAAACTTTAATTTTGAGAATGTGGTAATGAGCGGTAAAATAATTTATTTTCAGGCGAAGAAATAACAGGTTTAAGACCAGAACAAAGGGATATTAGATTTTCATACTTTAACATTGATATGGACCTTTGTTTTTTATTTAATTTTTTGATTGTCAAAAAATGTAACTTGTTTTCTCTTTTTAAAGACATTGAACGGTATTGTTTGTCTACGTGGCTAGTTTTAAAAAATATTTTATCAGGGTTTTCCTTTTTTACAAAAAATTCAAATATATCTGACCATTTAAATTCATTTCCGGCATCATCTTTTTTTATAGATTTGATTCTTAGATCTTCGCTTAACTTTTTATAATCCAAAAAGTCATCATAATTTAATTGGTAAACCTTATAAGTGTTGTTTTGCCTTGCCAACCGAAATACTGGTACTAATTGACTTGGAGTGAACAAATCTCCAGCTTTTTTAATAGCGTGTGTAATTGCACTATGGGCAGAGTCTCCTTCACTCTGCCCATGGTTAGGCGAAAAAAATCTAAGACTTATTTCCGCCAGGTGTTTTGATTGCAAAACCGTATATAAAAGAGCAGTTGCCATAATCGAATTTTTATTTTGCCCGCCACAGCCATCTGAAAACAATTGGGCAGAAGAAACATATTTTTCTTCATCGTATTTTTTTAAGATCATTATAACCGCGGTGGCAATTTCAGAAGATCCGCGGCCACTAGAACATTCATCCCAAGTCAGACAATAACAGTCACGGTTGGCTAAGTCATAAATCGTAAAGTTAAAAACAGACAACCTACGTTTATAAAAAATGGCATTGTCATTAGAAATAGGCAAAGATATCACCTGTTGCAAATCGAAACAAGCACAAAACATTTTTGGATCATTTTTAGCAGCACTTTTAAAATTGTCTTTTAGTTTACGGACTGCTTCTTTCTCCACTATGTGTTTATCGTAAATGTCTTTTATTTTTGTTTTTTCTTCTTCACTTCCTTCGTGAAAAACTCTGCAAACACCACACTGGTCTTTTTTAGGCTTATGGAATGACAAATTCATTTTTTTGAAGATTACCCTGTATAATGAAAAACTTGGTTTGCTTTTGGTGACCGGCAACTCATTTAAAAACATCCCGTACATCTTTCTTAAAGTTAAATCCCCATGTAAATATTCTCTGGAACTATCTTTGCGACAATAGTGAGACTCAACACGTGGGAATTTATTAATGTGACTGGTTATAGTGTCTCTAAGAGCCTTATCTTTAAGAGCGGATATCTTATCGCGACCACCGCGTTTATCTTTTTCAACAACGCCGGTGCTTTGATTTTTTTTTACAGTATTCCGCAATCGTTTTTCACCTATATCAAGAGTATTAATAAACATCTTACGGCAAACCTTACTTCGTTCACCATTACATGGAAGGAAAAAAGTTTTCGTGTACGTTCGTCGAGAGTTGTCATCTGGTTTTGTATTCGACTTTTTTGGTGTTTGTTCTACGAATCGAACAATAAATTCTCGTTGTAATTGCAAATCAGCTAAATTATAAAAATCCGAAAATATAGCCTGCCGTATTTCCTCGCTAAACTTTCTGCATTCTCTTCCGCCTTTTTTACACCATTCTGCATTACAAGCCGGTCCTAATTTACGTTCTGGGATAGTCTTCTTAGTTTTCACGGAAACATACTCTTTTCCACTATTTTTTAAAACTTTGGCAATCTTTCTTTTATTTTTTCTAGGCTGCTTCACTTCTTGATATTCTTTTGGTGAACCTTCTACGAAAAAGTCTTCTGGGATTTTTATTATTTTGTTAACAGGGGTTTTTTGTATTGGTCGTTTTCGAATGACATCTTCATCAGAGTCTAGATGAAGATGACTAACGCAATTTGGCAATTCTTCTTGAAAATGATCCCAACATAACAATATTTTGCACAGGTGACATGAACTGAATACTTCTTGCTTGCATCGAGGAACTTCACAACTTTGTATGTGGTAAGTTGGATCTTCTCTGTCGTTTAGGTCAATATCGCTATAAGGTTCACGTACATCATAGGAATCTGACATGTTCGAATCTTCTGACTTTTGCTTATCTTTTTCCTTATTCTCATGATGAGAAGTGGTAGGTAAATTATTTTCGTCAGGTATTTTGCTTATAACCTTTGATAGATTAATTTCACAATTATTTTCAACCCCAAAGTTATCAGGTATCAAGGGAAGAAGTTCTGTTAAAATAGGTTCTCTATTAAATGGACCTATTAAAATGTTATTGTTTTGATGCACGCTTATGCTACTGGAAGAACTAACTTGTTTGTAATTAGGTTGAAGAACAATTTTCTTAGACAGAGGTTCATTATCCGAAGAATCTGATTGGTCTTCAGTCGTTAAAACATTTGCTGTATTTTCTACCATTGTTATACTGCCAAAATACCATTTTTCATCAAAAAACATCTTCACTCTTGCTCCAATTTTATATTTACCACGTTTTTTAATGGTTTTCAGGCATCTAGTGTTTACGCAATTGACAGTTCCATCATCCCATTTCACAAGCACATCCATTTTTCAGACACAAAAACTATACACAGTAATAGCGAAACTAAAATGCGCGAATTATAATATTAAAGGTTTAATCAACACTCTAAAACTATAAGAAATACAACAAAAAATAATATTTACAAACAAATTTACCAGTCTTTCCGCAATGTGCATGCGTCCGATCACAACACGCTACACGTATATAATATGTTGAAACTATTTGATTTTTGGTCTTATTCTAACCTTTACAATTAAAGCAAGAAAAAGAAACATCGGACGCTGATGTTTAAGTTTCTTTTTCGTTTCAATAGCGGTAGGCCCTAAGTCAAGATTCCCTCGCAAGTGGCAAAATTATCACAACAAAAAGCCCTATCTTAAGATTGGCCTTTATGCTATAATAGTACGTGTCAAAATTCAAGATAGGGCCATGTGTTTTGTAAGTTTTATAAAAAAATAAATGAATTTTAAGATGTGACCTTTGGCCAAAACAAAGTATACACTAGATAGAAACTAACGCTGACCTTAGCACATTTTGGCCCTATCTCGAGATAGGGCCTTATGTCATAAGACCGACGATATATTCTAATTTAATATATTATAAACTTTTAAGTAATTGAATAAGTTACTTTATAAATATTGCTCTATTTAAAATGAATGTTTGCTTATGTTCAACATAATTATTGGCAATAGTCTTAACAAAAGTATAATAGCTTTAAGATACACTTGTGAAGTAAAATATAAAATATTGTTTAAATAAATCCAAGTTTCAGTTAAAATAAATTACTAAATTTATATCAATAGTTATAGATTTGTTTTAAATATAATACCTTTCCATTTAGTATACGCATTTAAATAAATATATGAATTTGTTTGACTTAAAACAAACATTTATATGTGCGTAGATTTTACATTAACATGCCCAGGTATTTTAATAAAGCGTTCAGTAGAAACGCCAGATTTGGCACCTGTTCGAATGATTTGTAATATTATTCCAATGTTCTTGTCTGTTTGTCATCCTACAGGAACATTTTTATACCATCCGCTGGAGTTCATTTTATTCCATTTAGGATTTGGCGTCAAAAATAATCTGTCCTTTATGTTTTTTGAACGTTTACTTATTAATTTTGAAAATAAACAAACTGGACACATATGTAGAAGGGGTAAGCCACTTACTATCGCTAAGCTTCTTTTCACCTCCTTGTTGGGTCTTAGTATTTATTTATTATTTAGTATTTAATAACATTTGTTAAAATTCTATTTAATTTTTTTTACTATCTTTCCACCTCTCCAAGAAAGTTTAAATGCTGCAACATGGTAAAATTTATTTTTCAGTTGTATCTTCGTCTCAAACCTGTATCATTTTTTTCACATTTTCTTTGTCAAGTGAGCTTTGTTTTATCATTTCCGGAATAGCTTCTATTCTCTTTCTATTTGCATTTTTTGCTTTCCTGGCCTTTTTAAAATCTAAATCAGAAAATGGATCTAATTTTTTTTCGTATTTTTCAAAATATTTTTTAAACGATTTCTGTGTTAGATTTTTTCATAATTAATCACCAATTAGTTAATATATTTGCAAGGTAACTTGTAGACAATACCCTTTTTTCCTTACAAAACGCCATACATTGGCTCTACATGGATTTTTTTTGTATTTTTGTGCTTTTTGGGATGCTTTTTTAAAAAGCATTCACAATATTTGCTTGAAAAGTATCTCTAAATTAGCAAACTTTACATCTTTCCTAGCACTGTGTTCATACTTTGTATAAAATTCTATTAAATGCCTTTAAAAATTAAAATGGATAAATTCAGGATTAAAATTTATCCAGACATTTAACCCAATATTTGCGGATTTTATAGTGACATTTAAGATAATTGCTATTTTAACTATACAGACATGGGCATAGGTAGGTAATATTAATAAAGAAATAGATTACAGTAATATTATAATAACACAATAAGCAGAATATTAAAATAGACCTTTACCTGGTATAATATTAAACTTAAACTTTAATAAACTAAACTTATAACATAATTATGTTAACGTAACATTTTTAAAAAAAGTTAAAGCAATTATCCCATATAAATAAAAATGTGAACTACTAGCGTTCTAAGCAGTGGCGGAACTACTATACAGTAAAAAGGAGCAATTTCATTGACTTTACTGGTTTTAAGTTAATTTTTACATTCCAATTAATTTTTTAATTAATACGACTACATGCACACATAATAAATATAAAAGTTTTTAGAAACAATTTAAATTGTTTAAAATCATTAAATTTTATGCTTTAAAAACAAGCTCCCAATTAAATATGACCAAAATTTCTCTAGTGTAAAAAACATTTACATGGTTTCTATGAAATGTTCACACATTTAAATGTAGGTATTTTGACTAATGATTTAGAAAAATAAATTTTTCAACATCATAAAAAATTAAATATTTCCAATGTTAATATGCGAATAAGTCATTTACATTAATCAGCGATCAGAAACATCTAAATTACAATAAAAACAACTATAGAAAGTCCAATTTACCACATTTTATTGATTGAAATTAACAATTAGAGGTGATATACTTTGTATGCAAAAATTTTCTGCAATGTTCATAAACCACGGCAATTATAAATTTTACTGGGAAAGTCAATTTAGAATCATAAAACCATCTGTTCGAATCGGATATTAAATCATATTTGTGGAAAGTAAAGATATTCCTCATAACCATTCATTTTGAGCCATTAAGGAATTTATTTAATGTTTGGGGTTATTAATAAAATAAACCAAATCAAAAATAATAAAAATAAATTTCACCTCACTTTTTTTTCAAATGTTATTATAGTCGCCTTCGCCCAATTTAAAACTTAATTGGTTTAAATCACAGTTAATAATAAAATCGGCCAATCACTGATGCCTAACAACGGGAATAATGAGTTTATTATTCTCTTTGTTAGGTAGGAAATTAATAATATTTATTATTATTTACGAAAAAAACAATATTATGCAATAGAAGTAGATAAAAATATGTACCATAATTAAAAACTAACATAATGGATATCAAAATAGTAAAGATAGAAAATGTATAATAATCGAATTAGAGAATTAGAATTATAGAAGTAGAAAAAAATACTATTACAAAAATAAAGAAAAACACGGTTTTCACATTCCCTCATGGAGTTTTCTCTTTTAACGTTTATTTATTTTCCAAAGTGATCTGATTTTAAAACATTATTGTTCTATTTTGTAGATTAAAGTTTTTTACAGAAAAATTAAAATAATAATCGAAGTGTAACATTTATTTTTCGCTGATTTTATTTATTATTTGCATTAAATCTTCGTTGAAAAACTAAAAATTTTGAAATTCATGAGGTAGTTTTCTAAAAAATAGTTTAGATGCTTCTTTTTTTCTAAATTTGTGTTAAAGATAGGAAATCAATTGTGTCGATAAGATAAAAAACAATTTTAAAGTTTTAAGTTTTTTAAAACAATAAAAGAATATAATGTATCAAGTTTGATAAACGCCATTTTAGTCACGAATTTAATTTAGGCACGAGCGAGCTTGCAAGCAGGTGTTTAATTAAATGTGTGTCTACGAAAAATACTGATTATAATCATTATCATAATAATTATTATTCAAAAATTATTTAAATTAAATATTTGTATACAGCGACATCTATAAAAAATAGAGTAACTGGCGTAACAATTTCTAAGTTCGGATTATGTTAAGAAAATATTTTATCCTTTGATTTTTTTATTACTATAATTTATACTATTATTACAAAGTATTACAAATTCTAACACGGGAAATGTTAAAGCTACAAAAAGTGACAGTTGTATTTATTGGAATTGCCGTTAAAATTTTTAACTTGGGAATCTACCGGCTTTAAAATCTCAAATTTTTTTGTGTAACTCAAAATTTATCCCTTACAAATAGACCAACAATGGATATAGAAGCAGTTTTTCACTATTAAAGAAAAGAGAATATTTATGGGCGAAATCAAAAGGTCAGTACAAACGTTTATAGGTATCATTTTTTTAAATATTGGCGTCAAAAATCCATTTAATACTTTTGTATTTTGGTATTGAGATTGAGAAAAAATTAAACATAAAATTAAATTTAAGAAAATAAACGTAAACGTGAAATATACTGTTTGTTGCAAAAAGGAGTCCATTAAAAATATCTATAACTATAAAATAATGAATGATTTATAAATTTAAATTACATTATAATTTTATAAATCGTGTTTAATAAAAGTTATGTTAATACAGCACCAAATAGGTTTTTTTGCGGCCCGGTAGAATATTTTTACTGAATTAAAAAAATGAATAATTTTTATAAATTTTTATAAATAAATTCACTTTTTTCTCGATATCAGTGTACGGATACTATCCGTAAAAATTTGGAAATTTTCAAAAAAATTGACATTTGCATTTTTTCATATTACGACCATTCCAAGCCCATGGACAGGACACATCAAAAACATGTCTAAATATCAGGGGCGGATCTAGAATGTGTCATTGGGGGGGGTGGAGTTGAAAATTTTTGTAAATAATAAGAAAGTTGAAATTAAAGTTATTCCATTTTTTTATTATTTTCTATATTAATTTAAAAAGTTATGTTCAATTTCAACTTGATAACTTCCGGGGGGGGGGGCGATCGCCCCCATCGCCCCCCCCTTGGATCCGCCAATGCTAAATATATTCTTATTACTTCCTTAAGTTTACTTATTTTTTCTACGAGTATTTATAAGAAGTATTAGCCAAATTTGGCTAATACTTCTCATAAATACTCGTAGAAAAAATAAGTAAACTTAAGGAAGTAACAAGAATATATTTAGACATGTTTCTGATGTGTCCTGTCCATGGGCTTGGAATGGTCGATTACCCTTTGAATAAAATTTAGGAAATTAAAAAGTCAATTTTTCTGAAAATTTCCCAACTTTTCCGTTTTTTTTTTCGAAAAAAAACCCGGTTTTTTTCCGCTGGCTCAATTTTTCCCGAAATTTTTAACCCTAATTGAGATAATAAAATAATTT